GGAAGGAAGGAAGGAAGGAAGGAAGGAAGGAAGGAAGGAAGGAAGGATATAAAATCCTTAGTGAAGCATGCAAACCAGCGCCTGCATTTCCTGCATTGGATGAGCAAAGCACATCTTTCTCCTTCTGTCCTGGCTACTTTTTACAGAGGCACCATTGAGAGTGTTTTAACAAACTGCGTCCCTGTTTGGTTTGGTGGCAGCAGTGCCTCACATAGAAAGTCCCTACAGAGAGTGGTGAGGACAGCGGAGAAGATTATAGGAAGCTCACTTCCCGTTATTCAGGATACTGCTTACAAGCGCAGATAAAAATCTTGGCTTCTTGCTTGATTCTGTGTGTACTCCATATATATATATATATGTGTGTGTGTGTGTGTGTTGTGTGTGTTTTCTTAAGTTTTCGTGGGTACTTACATGTATGGCATTCAGCTTTGTTCGGGTATTTTCCCACGTCATTGTAGTTGTGCTTTTAAAGTTGTAGCAACGTTTTGGCAGAATCTCATCTGCCATCATCAGGCTTCTGACAGACGGACACAATCAGAAGCCTGATGATGGCAGATGAGATTCTGCCGAAACGTTGCTACAACTTTGAAAGCACAACTACAATGACGTGGGAAAATACCCGAACAAAGCTGAATGCCATATATATATGTGTGTGTGTGTGTGTGTGTGTGTGTGTGTGTGTGTGTTTACAAACGAGCTGAATTGATTCAGCTAGAGAAACACGGTGGCTTTTAATTAAAAAAACAAAAATAGAGCATCACAAACGGCTCTGTCAATATAACAAAATGAGGTTGTACGTGTGGGTTTGGGTTGCACGGGCGAGACGCACGCCATTCTCAGCTCATGCAGTTCTGGCAACGTTGCAAGCCGTTCTCGTTGCAGGCGGTGCACCTGAGGGCTTTGAAAGAGTCTGTAAAACGGTTCCGGAACATGGACATCTTGCTCCCATGGCACATCGAGCATGGAAGGAAACCAAAGCCCCCACAGGAGAGGCACTCATGGGGGTGTTGAACTCTCTACAGAAACAGGAGAGAAAAAGAACAATGGCATCTATTAGTGGCGTTACACTCAGGAGTCTCGACCCTAGCAACTTTGAAATGGGTGGACTTCAAACCCCCCGACCAAAATGGTGTCACCCTTCATGTTCTCTGAGGTTGGTCATTTTCCTGCAGAGATTTCATTAACCAAAGGTGACATATTCAGTGCTAGAAGGGAATGAGATTTGTGGAGAAGAAAAGGAGGAGGAAGACTGTGGGGTCCTTGGTGCTCTCTGAGCTTGCTTGTTTTCTTGCACATTTCATTACCCAACTAGATAACAGCATCAGTGCTAGAAAGGTGTGTGGTTGGAGGAGGAGGAGGAGGAGGAGGAGGAGGGTTGGGTCCTTGGTACTCTCTGAGTTTGGTGGTTTTCTTGCAGACATCTCATTACCAAACCAGGTAACTTCATCAGTCGTCGAAAGGAGTGGAGTTTCCTCTCATTTTATAATCTAGGGGTTTGCCCTGTCAATGTTGCTAGGAATATTCTTGGTGATTTCCTTGATTGGGCTCTTGTTTATGGCTTTGTTGTTGTTCTACTGTTGATCTTGATCTTAATCTCTGCTTATCTGGGTTTTGATCGCTGGTGAGGAGGTGCTTTGGTCTTTGTTTCCTTTCTGACTTTTTGACTGTCTCTTTTGAATAGCGTGCAAATGTTGTTTACCTCTATGTGCCCGTGGATGGTCAATGTGTATGCTTGCCAAGCTTCCAAGAATTTTCTAGCATTTTGGGATTTAGCTTGATCTAGGATGTTAAATCCGGTTAACTAATGGTTAACTCCCAGAATTCTCTCATGGATCCCCAGCATAATGGGTCTGTTATGAGCCTATATTCTTACCCATCCACAGAAGAATTCAATAGTATATAATTTTAAGGCAAATAGTCTTAGCAATTACAACACAAAGGGTAAAAAATCTTTAAATATTTTAGTAATGATTTGTCCGGAAAAACCAAGCGGGCCTTTTGTATATATTTGGATCGATATAATGAAACACTCTTGTGACAATGAAATGGGAGGTTATGTGATGTGGGGTTTTGTTTTTTTTGCCAAGCACATTAATTACCTCAATTTTGGTTAAAAGGTCCTGCAGCTCACCCGATTCATTCATTGACAAAATTTTCTCAGCACCCTAGAAGGAGAAAGGCAAAAAAAAAAAATAGTTTGTGTTGGTGAGGATGTGTGTGCGTGTGACTGTGTTCTGCAACGGTCATGAGTGAATAACATGCTTGTACACCACTTCCTTCAGTGCCGCTGTGACTTCAGACGGTCACTAAATGAACTGTTGTAAGCTGAGAACTATACCTGAGCCATGGTGGCACAGTGGTTAGAGTGCAGTATTGCAGGCTACTTCTGCTGACTACCAGCTGCTAACGATTTGGCAGTTTGACTCAGACTTCCGTCCTTCCGAGGTCACTAAAATGAGGACCCAGATTGTTGGGGGTAAGAGGCTGACTCTGTAAACTGCTTGGAGAGCGCTGGAAAACACTGTGAAGCGCTATATAAGTCTAAGGGCTGTTGCTAGTGCTCTTTCTTTCCTTCCTCCCTCCCTTCCCTCCCTCTCAGTGGTTAGAATGCAGTATTGCTGGTTAACTCTGCCTAGTGCCAGCAGTTCGATCCTAACCAGCTCAAAGATTGACTCAGCCTTCAATCCTTGCCGAGGGTGGTAAAATGAGGAGTCAGATGGTGCGGACAAGAGGCTGACTCTGTAAACTGCTTAGAGAGGGCTGTAAAGCACCGTGAAGCGATATGTAAGTCTAAGTATTATTGCTATTGCTGTTACGGTATATTGCATCAAAGATTGTTACTACACACCAAAGAGGAATTGAATGTTGTTGTTCTTATTTTACACAATTCAGGGATCTCTAGCCTTGAATTCACCCAGAGCTGCTTAAGTATAAAGAAGAAGGTGATGAAAATGAAATTCAATAGAGAGAAAAGTAAAGTCCTACACTTGGACAAGAAAAACCAAAAGGACCCATACAGACTGGGTGAAACCAGGCTCAGTAGCAGTAACTTTGAAAGGGATCTCGGAGTCTTAGTGGACAACCAGCTAAATAGGAGCCAGCCGTGTGCAGCAGCAGCCAAAAAAGCTAATGCAATCCTAAGTTGTATTAACAGAGGGATACAGTCAAGATCAAGGGAAGTACTAATACCACTCTATAAAGCCTTAGTAAGACCACACCTAGAGTACTGCATCCAGTTTTGGTCACCACATTATAAAAAAGATGTTGAGACTCTAGAAAGAGTGCAGAGAAGAGCAACCAGGATGATTAGGGGACTGGAGACTAAAACATACAATGAACGGTTGCAGGAACTGGGTTTGGCTAGTCTAGGGAAGAGAAGGACCAGGGGAGACATGATAACAGCCTTCCAATATTTGAGGGGCTGCCACAGGGAAGAAGGGGTCAAGCTATTTTCTAAAGCGCCTATAGGCCAGATAAGGAATAATGGATAGAAAGTGACCAAGGAGAGATTCAACCTGGAAATAAGGAGAAGCTTTCTGACAGTGAGAACAATCAACCAATGGAATAGAAGTTGCCTTCAGAAATTGTGGGAGCACCAACACTTGAGACTTTCAAGAAGAGATTGGACTGCCATTTGTCAGAAATGGTGTAGGGTCTCCCGCTTGGGCGGGGGGTTGCACTAGGTGACCTACAAGGTCCCTTCCAACTTTGATTATCTGTTATCTGTTAAAAGTCTTAGAAACGAGCTGCAAAAAAATCTAAAAGAAGAGATGCAATTGAATTCAAATGTGATCAAGTGGATCCCAAATTACAAACAGATCATATGGAGAGAGTTTATATCCACCCAAGAAGACATAAAACGATCCCAGGGTTCCTTCCGCTAATCAAAGAAGACCAGCTGAACATTTTGCATTTCGCATTTGGAAAGGAAAACTTTTCTGCTGGTATGGAGTCAAGATTCCATCCCGTTTTGGCAACGGGTCAGTCCTCTGTGTGAACGGGTTCGCTCACCCATTGACACAATTCTGACGTGACCTCAGCTAGTGTCAGCATATTGTCAAGTTTGATGGCTGAAGCATTGCGGTGGTGTTATTTCTGGAGAGCTGCGATGCAAAACGATGGACCAAAGCTTTGTGAGAGCTGTCAGCGTTCCAACTAACCAACGCCAAACCAATAAACTCCAAAGACAAACAATTCCTCAAAGTTCCATTTTATGAGAGTTTGTCATATTGGCACACCTGGGAAAACCCCAATCTGAGAGTTTATTTTTATTTTATTTATTTACTTATTTATTTTGTCGAAAAGCTTACAATATAATAGAAATAAGAATAAACATAAGTTTAAATGCAAGTAATAGGAACTAATAATTGGGGACAATAGGACAGGAACAGTAGGCACGATTGCGTGCTTATGCATACCTTACATACCTCTTAGGAATGGGGTGAGGTCATAGAGGTTAGTTTGAGGGTAAAGGAGTGGAGGGTTTGAGCAGGTGACAACAGCATCAGGTAGTGAGTTCCAGACATTGACCACTCTGTTGCTGAAATCGTACTTCCTGCAATGGAGTGGTGAACATTAAGTTTATATCTGTTGTGTGCTCTTGTGTTAACAGATAACAGATAATCAGAGTTGGAAGGGACCTTGTAGGTCATCTAGTCCAACCCCCACCCAAGCAGGAGACGCTACACGGCTACACCATTTCTGACAGATGGCAGTCCAATCTCTTCTTGAAAGTCTCAAGTGATGACGCGCCCATAACTTCCGAGAGCAACTTCTGTTCCATGGGTTGATTGTTCTCACTGTCAGAAAGTTTCTCCTTATTTCCAGGTTGAATCTCTCCCTGTTCAGTTTCTATCCATTATTTCTTGTCTGGCCTTCAGGTGCTTTAGAAAATAGATTGATCCTCTCCTCTCTGGGGCAGCCCCTCAAATATTGGAAGACTGCTCTCCTGTCTCCCCTGGTCCTTCTCTTTCACTAGACTAGCCAGGCCCAGTTCCTGTAACCGTTCTTGATGTGTTTTAGTCTCCAGTTCCCTAATCATCCTGGTTGCTCTTCCTGCACTTTTTCTAGAGTCTCAACATCTTTTTTATAATGTGTCCAAAACTGGATGCAGAACTCTAGGTGTGGTCTTACTAAGGCTTTATAGAGTGGTATTAGTACCTCACTTGATCTTGATTGTATCCCTCTGTTAATACAACTTAGGATTGCATTAGCTTTTTTGGCTGCTGCTGCACACGGCTGGCTCCTATTTATCTGGTTGTCCACTAAGACTCCGAGATCCCTCTCACCATTACTGCTATTGAGCCTGGTTTCACCCAGTCTATATTCACCCAGTGTTGTTGTGGTTAAAGTTGAAGTATTCATTAACTGGTAAGTTCCAGGTTTTCCCTTCCCAAAAGAGGGACCAAAAATCCATTCCCTGCACCCATCAGTCTATCACATGGTCCAATATCAAATGTTCATCCCAACCAGAGACAATACCCCCAGTCATTTCCCTCCAGGTGCAGGGCAACATGTCCTTGACTCTTTGGGATAAGAATGTTGTTGTGTCTACTTTTACCCAGGGGCGGGATTCTGCCGGTTCGGACCGGTTCGGGCGAACCTCCTAGCTCTGATAACCAGCTGGCTCCGAATCGGTTCACTCCAACACCTGATGAAGGTCCATTTGGATCCTGTTATTCTATGTTCTATGGGAGTGATGCAAAGTTTAGCTTCAGCAATAGTTAGGGGCATTTGAACAAGGGTCCAGAGATGAGCAAGTTTGAAGTTTGGAGACCCCTGGATCTAGACAGTTCTTGGCTGGCTGGGATTGTATGGCAATCTCTTCTAAACCTCTTAGCTTCTCCTCCTACCTATGTCGGCTTCTGATGGCCAAGTTATTTTTCTTTTCTTTTTTAAATTGCTCACCCCAGCTGTGATGACCCGGAGTGTAACACAAATGTAACAGAATCCAAAACATAAATTAATGTCCTTTAATACCTCCAACTTGGCCCCACTGTTCAATAATTCTCCATTGGAGATTAAACGTACTCAAAAATATTCTTCAAAAGAAAGCAATACAATCCGAATTCAATGAGCAGATAGAGGTGAAATAAAAAACCAAACAAACTACAATGACAAAATGTCCACAGCGGAACAGGAGAAGTATTTACCAAATTCAAGGAGATAACAAAGCACAGTTTGTTGGAAGGACACCAACCAAGATAACTTCAGCCCAAAATAGCACATGCTTTGCTTCTGGCAACACTGTGTTTTAACCGTCTCTCTTATATACTAGTCTCCCCAGCTGCAACCAATGAGGAGGATCATGACCGCTTCCTCTCTCATAAGCCAAGTTGTTTCCTTCTCCATTCCTCCCTGCATGTCCTAGGATGAAGAGGGGATGGGCCTGGTTCTTCCTCTGACTGCCCAGCCGGCCTCAGCCCTTCCACAGCCTCCTCCACAGCCTCCGGAGCTACACCTCCTCTCCCTGTCAGCTGTTCCTCTTCTCCCTCAGAGTCCAACTCTATCAAGGGCATGACACCAGCCCTCAAGCTAAGAGTTAGCAACCACTCCTGAAGCCTCAGTGGATATAGGAAGAATACAACTACCAGGGACATAGCAAGTTTCATAAGCAATCTCCATCTGGTTCTCAGTCATTCTTTCTTGATTTTCTTTCTGGTACTTCCAATAATTCAAACACGGAGCCCTCCCTTCAGCTCCAAGTTCTCAAGAACATCACTGGTGGCCTGGAAGGAACAGCAGCAACTTTCAATCTTCTGCTCTGTTTTTTGGTGGACAGATTCCTTGTGACAAATGAAGAAAGGTTGCAGCAATTGGGTATGTCTAGAGAAAAGAAGGACTAGGGGTTACAAAAGGATAGCACAAAAGATTCGTAACCAACTGACACGGTGTTATGAACTAATAAAAACTATTTAATAAAACTTGTCAACCTCACAATAAGCAGGATCGTAATCCTGCACCTTTGATTGGCCCATGGATAGCGAGCAGGGATTGGTCCTTATGGAGCAGCCTGATTGGCTATTAGTTGAACACCTCTCATTGGGCAAAATTTAAGCATTTGGACACAATTCATTGGTTAACGGGTCAGCAGCCAGCTCTATAAAAGAGCTGCTGCTGCCCAGGGTTTTTGCTCTGTTCCTAATCCTTAATAAAGAGTTGAAGT